ATACAGATCGATTGAGTCCTCTTGAGCTGGCGATAGCCTCGTATGCGTTGCTTTATGGCCGCTGCGAAGTTGGATGCCGTGAAATCGCAAGCGGAGTCGTTCGCGTGGAACCCCAAATTCCTTAGCCGCAGCGCGGGGACATATTGGGATTTGCCTCAATGGCTTTAATAGCCTCGGCTACGCGCCTTTCAAGCGTAAGCTCTTTATTCTTCATAATGTGCCGTTGTTGAGGTCAAGATAGAGGCTTGAAGCGGTGAAGTGACACAGCCAGGTGGTTGACACAGACAGGTGGTGAGGACCCACTTTACGTGGGTCTGTGGGACGAGTAGACTGAATGAGTCCTAGCATTACGCAGATTAAGACCCTTGCTCTCGAAGGCCCCTCCTATAGCGAACGAACGATTCGTAGAATTCGACCGAAATTGAGACGGTTTGGAACGACCACTGGGCGGGGGCATATAGCCAAAAATGGCGTTCTCAAGTCAGGTCGAAGTACCAATTTTCGCATTGTATCAGCCACTTTTACCCTGTGGAAAACTCACTCGATTGAGCACCAACCAGCGCCACTTCAAGTATCTACAAGAGCTCGTATCATCGACGAAAACCATCGCAGATTACAGTACAGTAATGTAGAATCGGGTAAATAGCAGACCGGACAGTGCCAGTTGGAGTCCAACTACAGACAGCTCCACTAACGACATATGGCTCCGCATTGACTTGGCAACCCCCGTCATGGCCTCCGGTCAGTTGAGGCATTTTTTTTGCCGCGATACGGTCTAGGGGCCGAAATGTCCGGGTTCTGCGAGTTGTGGTAGAAAATGTACGAACCAACATTACGTAAAAGCCGAATGCGCTCTTAGCTGTATGCACCCTAATATGAATCTAATGACATACCGGTACATTGCGGCATCATTCCCACTCAACCACAATGGCTTATAAGGCATCCAAGAATGACCGCAAGGTACTTCGAGCAATTTCACTAGCGTTTTGTATACTGAAGAGCTTTCGGGGTCGCCGAGTTAGAGACATTTTTTGCTCCTTTAACAGATATAAATAATGCAATATGAACCATTTTTGCGCTCATGTTCTCAAAACTCAATGCCCGTTCAGGCGGAATCCCTGCCGGCATGATCCTTTGAAATGCTGAGACGCAAGAAGGCATTCCGACAAAATGACTTAGAGGTCACTACGCGAGCTCAGCTAGTCGCCTACTTGAATCGCAGCCCAGAAGCGGACTATATGCCGCTTTCTCAACAGACGGCAGATAGTAAACGCTGGGTCGGCGAGCATCGCCAGCATCGAAGTCGCCAGCTAGCTGTAGTTCAGAAGGTCGAAAATACGTCTCTAACAGACTTCAGAGCCCTTGCTCAAATTGCTGATGCAGGGATTGCTCGCCTTATTGCACTTTATCACCGAGACCAGGCGTTTCATGTCGTCTACGAACACGTCGACTTATATCTTTACGACTTGTGCCCACTATCGGAAGGAGAAATTGCAGAGATCATGTCTCAGGTACGGTCCACTTACAAGCTCTCTCACAAGCAACGACTACCCATCACATAGGTCCTAGCGGGGGTACGTAAACTCAGACAGCTATCGCTTGGCTTTTGCATAGACTGCGTGCGAGTCACTGCCCAAGGTTCCGTGAAACTCGGTCAGTCCTCAACATCGGCCATCAGCCTCGTGGCATACCGGCAACTAATCTATTCAGTACTTGACTGGAGCCACGAGTCTGTTGTTGGGCCCTTAATCCGACAAGTATTGCAGGAAACTTCCACATTATTCCTGTATGAGACAATGGAGAGACTGGGTAACAACAGCTCCTTCTGGTCGCCTGATGCTTCAATGTTTTTAGAGCGGCTTCGCGGCGGAAACATCCCGCTTACCACGGTACGTTCAGACCTGGTTCAAAGCCGAGGTTATCTGTCTGATGAAAGGGAAGGACCCTTTTCTTGACAAAGCCCAAAGCTTACGGGCAGCGGCACAATTTGCTATTCGGAAGAAACTGGCAGGGGGTGTATTTAAAGTCACCAGAGAGGGGGACCGGCTTTTCAACTCAACCTGAACTTACGACGGCAGGTTATATACCGGTACAAAGCCAACCGCTTGGCAAGGCAGGACACTTGACTTGGTCCTATCTCACGGAAGATAAGCAAAGCAGGCATAAAGATCAAGGACTGGAAGACTCTTGTCACACAGAGTATATAAACGCCCTTCGGGCTGAATCAGCCTCAACAGTCTGATTCCCTATTCGCATAGTTAGCCTGTTGATGTAAGGCGCACACAACTAAACAGAGAGTGAAGAACGGGGGTCAATCATTCAATTCATTGATCTCTGAAGATCCCATAAAATCCCGAGAATAGGCACCCATCTTATATGGGCAATTGATATACGGGCCCAACCACTTTACTACACGGGCGCTCCTTACACGGGCGGCGGTTTTTAATTGGGCCAAAAATTCTGCCGCCTGGTCCTTGCACGTGGCAGGGTCTGTAGCCCCACCACCTGGCAGAAGGGGTGACATCCCAGCTGCCAGTTCTGTAGTGACAACTAACTCTCCACAACCAACCTTCCGTCTGAGCAATCATTCGGTTAAGCACCAACCGGCATGACATTGCACAAAGACCCAACTGCTGCCAACAGCGGCGACGGCTGTAGTAGATCCCTTCCGGGCTTGCCTCCATGCAAGCGCCGTAGACTTGCATCACGGGCTCGGGCTCAGCCTCCTTTCAATCCTGAACCGTATTACGGCCTTAACGACGATGATGCGTTATACAATCTCTTCGCCACATGGCCAGAAAGCTACTTCACTAGCCTGCCAAGACCACACGGCTCTCGTGGCGTCGACGAGCCCTGGTGGAAACTACGTCAGTCACAAATATTCTTGGATGATAGCTTCCGAGGAGGTGGGGCTCGGCGGTTGTTCACCACAGGAATTCCTGATGCAGACAAACTCGAGAGACAGCGTCTACGCTGCCTCTTGAGGTGGAGAAGTCGATGCCCGCAAGCAGGTTGTGGCCCGCTTCCAGCCTGCCTTGACCTTGGCCTGGGAGCTGGCGGAGACAGATTCCTTATTGGCTCGCGAGTTGGCCAAGTGTCGAGAAGCGTCCGGCCCACGGCAAGCTATTTGGGAACGTGGAGACGATTGCCACGGCCGTATTGCGTCGCCCACTCCACTAGTATCATCGTTGAGCCAAGATGGACAGGAGTACGAAGAGTGGAACGGCTTCTCCGACGCCGAGTGTGGGGATTATAGCGACGTATTAATTCATTGAAGTAGTGATGACAAGGTTATCAGATTAGCGGTAGAAGATGTCATCTTAGTGAGCGAATGCGTGTGTTGTGGTGGTCTCACCGCCTTTGGTGGGCTGACGGGCCGTGTTGGTGGGGCTGGCCGGTCGTCCATACAGCCCGTGTAAGGAGCGCCCGTGTAGTAAAGTGGTTGGGCCCGTATATCAATTGCCCTTATATGATAGCATCCTCCGTTTCCTGACGGCCTACTCCGAGACATCTCGGAGGTATTCCTTCTCCTAGCGCGTGACAGTTGAAGTGGGTCATCAGAACCCCTGAACCCCTGAAAGGCTCTCTGAGGAGCCTCTGACAGTGGCTTGGAAGTGATATATTAAGGTGGCATTTCTCTGTTTTTACTTAAAGATTTCTTCAACCTTTTAATGAACACTCAATCCGCTACACAGAATTCAACATAGCCTATATTTTAGGTCGTGGCAGTTTGTAATGCCATATTAGTGATGGATTCGAATCTTCTGGATGACATCGTCATCTAGGCTGCATGGGTGGCGACATCGCCACTCAACCCAACGTCACAAGTATAAGAAGCCAACTTCTCAGCATCACTTAGATAGAGAATCAAGAGTTCTTCAGTCCCCGATCTTCATGCTTGCTCAGCTCATCCTCCGTGCGATAACTCTTAATTCTGATTTCTACGGTGGGAAGAAGGCGAGGTCTTTATGGACTGCCTGAATGAGTGGATAGAAAGTAATGGTAGCATCTTGTAAGAGGCTGGCTCGGGGTTTATTCAACAGGTAGGTGCATAGGTGTTATCTTGTCGCGAAGCACGTCTGAGATCTTGAGCTCGAGGTGACCATAAGGGGTATATGTGACGGTCACGGACTGAGCCAGAAGGCTGTGGACTCTATTACGAAGATTCTGCTCTGAGGAGGAAGGAGAACCGAACAATACAACTGGGTGTCCTCTCCCTAAATATGCCTTCCGTACGCGTGGGCCGTTGGCCCAACAACATGTGGGTCATGTATGCAAGGGGGGTGTGACGGTGCTAGGCCGTCACACTACCCCCCCTAAAGCCGTCGAACACAAACGGTGGAGATGGCTCCTCACGAGTGTCGTCGCAGTCGCCGTCGCTCATGCCCACGGCCGACAGCCTTGTTGTCATCGTCGTGACTCTCTGCCCACCTGTCTTCCGCTGCTGCTAGCAGCCATTCTGCCAATCGTACAGGCGGTCCCGGTGCCTCGGGATATTCGTCGTGGAACCGCCTTAGAGCTGCCGCACCATTCTTGAACCCTTCAGCGTCGTAGTATAGCTCGTCAGGGTCCTGTCCTGCCCACTCGGCTCGGTACTGTAATTTTCCCCTTGAGATCCTTGACGACAATATTTTCGCCACCTCGTACTCTGGCTCGCCGTTAATCATCTCGGCCGGCGGAGCTTCCACTTGCTGTCCCGGCAGCGGGTCTCGCGCAGCCCTTCTCAACCGGTCGGCATGCAGCACCTTTGCCACCCTCATGCCTTTGGGTAGGTCCAGCTCGAATGAGTGACCCTTTTGCCACGATTCTGAACGGACCCGCGTTCTTAGAATCTAGCCGCGTTGTTGGCCTGTCAGTTGACCAGCCCCTTTTCGAAACAAACACCCAGTCACCGACATCGAAATCGGGCACTCTTCTCTTCGAATTGGCTGATCGTTCCTGGCGCCTTTGAGCCGCTTCCACGTTCTTTTTTGCCAGCGAACAAACTTTCTTGGCTCGATTCACAAAGTCCTTGGCTGCATTTTGGGCGTCGGTCCAATCCCCGACCTGCTTGTCGGTCGGTATATGAACGAAAGCCGCGTGGGGTGCTCGCCCTGAGAGGCCTCGATCGAGTCATGCCTGTTGAGTCGTGCGGCGTGGAGTTATGCGCGAAGTCTAACGCCGCCAGATGCTCACTCAATCGTCTTGAAAATACGACACGTAAAACGTCAAGCGTTGGTCAAGATACTGGTTGGTAATCTCCACGCCTCCTTGAGTCTGCGCATGGTAGGCACTGCCGAATTTGTGCTCTGTTCCCGTCATCTCGTTGACCTTGGCCATGAATTTCGAAATGAACTGTGGTCCGTTGTCGGAGAGCCAAATCTTCGGTAGACCGAGGTGGCCAAACACGCGGCGGTAATATCGCTTGGCCAGTCTTTCGGCGGTGTCTGTCTTTTTCCCCGGAATCGTGAGAATCAGCTTGCTCAGTTTGCAGATGAACGTCCAAACGTAGTCGAATCCATTTCGATCATTCGGCATGTCCTTTCCGTCCACCAGCACGGTATGCCAAGGTTCCTCTGGGACAGGCAACGAATGGAGCAATCCAGGTGACTTATCTTTCCACACTTTGTTCCTACGGCATGCCTGGCAATTGCGTGCGTAGCGCGCGAGATCCTCATCCATACGTGGCCAGTAATAGAACGGCCGCAGCATCGCCTTCATCTTGTTCTTCCGGATGACCCCTTGATTTGGGTTCGTGGACTTCCCGGATTAAGGCAGTTCGCAGTGCGAGCCCTTCTGACGAGTACTCCGGCACCCAGATACGATCTCCCTTCTGCCGGTCCTCCTTGGGAATCTGCTTCTCATTTTCCCGGACAATCAGCTCCACAAGGAACACTCCGGCTGGTGCCTCCCCAGATACTGCTGGGCCGCGGTCCTCAGAATGTGCCGCGATGTCTAGGGGAGCAGCTTCGACATGTGTCTCCTCGAGAACTTCTGCGGGTACCCGATCGTTCGGGACCAGTTCCATGGTGCGGGAATCCAGGTCTCTGGCTCTGACGGTCTCGAAGTTCTCGCTTTTCCGGGACAGGGCATCTGCAATTATGTTCTCCTTCCCGGGTCGGTACGTCATCTTGTAGTCAAATTCCGACAGAATCTGTGCCCAACGGGCTTGTCGAGATGATAAAACCCGCTTTGTCGCAAAGTACTTGAGAGCTTCATGGTCCGTTACTACTTCAAAGGGCCCCAACCAGCTATGGCCTCCACTCTTCCAGGGCGCGGATGATGGCGAGGAATTCTCGGTCTTGGATAGGCCATACCGTCTCTGTTGACGACAAGGTCTTGGAGAAATAGGCCACCGGCTTCCATGAGTTGTCGTTCTGTTGTTGTAAAGCGGTGGCGCCTACCGAATGCCTTGACGCATCAGTCTCTACCGAGTTGGGGCGCCTATCTTCCAGAAGCCCATTCCGGGAGCTCGGACCAGGGCTTCCTTGAGTGCCTCAAAAGCCGCTTCCTCTTGCTTGCCGATCTTGAAGATTGCCCCTTTCTTCAGGAGCTCGTTGAGCGGGTGCGCCAGCTCGCTTACTTCTTTCGAGAAGCGTCGGACAAAGTTAACCAATCCGAGGAAAGATCGGATGGCTTTCGTAGATTTTAGGTCCGACAGCCTCCACTCAAGGATGGCCTGTTTATTCTTAGGGTCAAGGGCGATACCTTCCCCCGCCTTAATCACCAGCCCGAGGTAATCCACCTCGGTGACGCAAAAGGAGCTCTTCTTGATGTCACCCTGTAGGCCTGCCGCTGCCAGTCGTCGAATGACTTCCTCGGTCTGGCGCACGTTTTCCTCGGCCGACTCTGAATAGATCAGGATGTCGTCGGCGTACGAACTGCAGTAGATGTCCAGGATATCCCTCAGGCAGTCGTTGATAAAGCATTGAAAGATTGCAGGGCCGTTCGTCAGCCCAAAGGGCATCACCTTCCAACGGAAAGTTCCCAGCCGGCACCGAAATGCCGTCAGATCCATACTTTCGAGGGCCATTCGCAACCTATGGAAGGCTTGACGGATGTCGATTTTTGTAAAAAACTTGGCGCTTGCTAGTTTTACCAGGGTATCTTCTAACAGAGGCATGGGGTACTTCATCTTTGCACTGGCGTCGTTGAGGTCCCGGTAGTCGATCACGAATCTCAATCCATGCCCATGTCACCCTTGGGCACAAAGAAGGCTGGTGAGGCAAATCCAGGCCAGCAGCTCTCGATGAAACCCTTGTCCAGGTAATCTTGAATCGTCTTTCGGAGTAGTTCGTCTAGATGATGTGGGTTGCGGTAGACACCTCTCGAACGCTCTGGCAATGGTTTGGTCAGGTAGATCTTCATGTCCCTCCCTGGGCCGCGGAGAGGAGGCAACTGGTTAGACTCCTTCTTCGAGAAAAATCCAGCCAGATGGCCCAGCGGGGTCGGGAGTTTCTCTTTGATCAAGCGGACCGTCTCGTCATCCTCACCCCGTGGAAGTGGGATAACTGGGCGGGTGTCCTTCGGTGGTACCTTAGGCATCTCTGGCGTTTGCGGGTTCACGTGAGCCACCGTAACACTTCTTCGAGCCAATTCTCCGAGGCGCGATGCACTCTGAATTCCCTTAAGGCGGGCTGTCAGCAGTCCTGTAGTTCCCGGTCCTGTCGCGGGTTTAGAAAGCTGGCAACCACCCCGTCGGCCTGCAGAGTCGTGGTCGTGGGGTGGTCCATCCTGCGGCAATTGACTCTGGTCGACTTGGGTCCCCTTTGCTCCTGGAGACGCTAGTTCATGAATTCTTGGGGCTTGCGCTTGTGCCGAACACGTTGGCGGCCCGCCGGCATTGCTCTCCTGGCCGGCCGGACGCTGGTCGGTAGCAAGACGACCACAGTCACGGATGACGTCCTCTTGGTCGTCCGTTTTCCCCCTTCCTTGGATAGGCTCCGTACCGGAAACAGCGCGGATTTGCTGCGGATTATCGGCGTCGACTCGCATGGTTGGAATCGTTGGGTTTCGCCAGGACGGCTTCCCCAGACTGTCTCGTCTTCGGTCCGATAATCTCGTCGCGCCTTCCCGTCCTGATGACCAGAGAAGTTTCCTGAGTCCAGGCGCAACGGCGACCCTGTGTTGTTCAAACCATTTCCTGCCAATGATGATGTCGTAGTCCATCCGGACGACCAAGAATGGTAAGTTCTTTAGGATCAAGCCTCTTCCTCTGGGCCCCAAGTTGTGAGACCGCTCTTCTCGCTAACCTATGGTTAATGGCGAGATACATACTCGCTCCGGTGTCTGCAAGGCACGAATGAGAATAGACATGTTGTTCAATTTAAGGTGAGATGAGATTGTCAGCTGTTTGCCCCCTATGAGTCTGTCCAAATCCGCCGCTCCAATCACAGACACCAAGTCGGCCAGGAACGAGACTTTGTCCTGGCCTACTCGTTTTGTCAGTTTGTTCCCGGTGGCGACCCGGGCATTGTTACGGTTGCCGCCATTGTTCCGAACCCCTCGGCTACCACTACTACTAGAGTGGTTGCGCTTCTTTTGCGCTTCGGAAAAGTTGTGGCGGGCCACGAACACCTGGTGCTGTGCTGACTCACAGAAGTCCTCGTAGCGCACTTTCGTATCGTAGACCCTCTCGACCACCGCTTGGTTGACCGGCGCAGGAAGAGAGTCCCACAGGGTCTGTTTCTGCATTGAAGGTTGGTACCCCGCCGCCTCGTACATGGAGTTGAATTCCCCCAAGAAAATATTGAAGTCCTTCTTCCAATCGTATTTGCAGACACGCAGCTGGGCGCGGGCGTCGGCGCCTTTGTTTGGGTTTGTGTGCGCTGTCTGGAGGACCTGGATTAGTTCGGCCAATGTTGTGAAAGGCCGAGTCAGCGAGTGGTGGCGTCCTTCTCCGGTCTTATACGCGGTGCCCTCGAGACGCGTAATCACGAAGTTGATCCGCGTCTTCTCAGAGGCGAAAGTATCGTTGTCCTCCTCGAACTTGCCCTCTACTTGCTTAATCCAGCTTTCAAACGAGGGAGTCCCTTCGCCGGAGAACATGGTGGGTTTCTCTCCCGACGTTTCCGTCCTCTCTATAGTTTGGGTTGGTGCCATCCATCGACTCATATCTCCGGAAGGCTAAAAGGGCCGCATATCCTGACGGCCGGAATTCTTCGCGGTCGTCAAAGGCTGTTCCTTCCCGTTGGCCTGGTGTGCTGACTTCATCTTCACCATATTGGCTGTCTCTTGGCTCGGTCACTCGTACTTGGGCGACCAAACGGGCCACTTCTCGGCTGATGTGGTCGGTTAATTGCTGTCTCTGCTCGGGAGACAATTCGGTGAACAAGCCGCTGCTGCCCTCCTGATTGGTGCTGTCAGCCATTTTAGGTCCCTGTCCTTCCTGGATGGTTATGTGCGATTCGATGGTCCCTGAACTGTTTCTTTGGTCTTGATCTCGGTCTTGATCTTGGTCTTGGTCTTGGTCTTGGTCTTGGTATTGATCTTGATCTTGGTCTTGGTCTTGGTCTTGGTCTTGATCTTGGTCTTGGTCTTGGTCTTGGTCTTGGTCTTCGATGCTTGGTAAGACGGGTCGTGGGAGCTGCGATCTATGGAGGGCCGTGTCCTGTTCAAGTGGGCCGGCCGAGCGCAGTCTTGGCATGGGGTAAAGTCGTGGCGTTTTTATGAATCGCTCGGCAGCGATGGCGTGGTCGAGAGCAGAATAGTGTGACGGTCACGGACTGAGCCAGAAGGCTGTGGACTCTATTACGAAGATTCTGCTCTGAAGAAGAGAAAGGAGAACCGAACAATACAACTGGGTGTCCTCTCCTAAATATGCCTTCCGTACGTGTGGGCCGTTGGCCCAACAACATGGGTCATGTATGCAAGGGGTGTGACGGTGCTACAGTGGGGACAAAGTTCCGGTCAATGACGCTAGCGCGTCGCGTACGCGCGTCTCCCACATTCCAACCCTTCCTCTTCAAATCACCATCATGCCTTCAAAATGAGCCCAATTACGCCCAAAACACTGGAGCCCTCATAAGAGGACGAAGATTGTGACCCTCTTTGATTGCGGCTTCTCAGCTGCCCTCGTCGGCGTCAAAGAGGACGTTTCTCCTAGAGCTGTCTACGGAATCGTCAGGCGTTACAGGACACAGTCGAGTGCGAAATCTTTGCCGCGCTCTGGGAGACCCTCAAAGCTCAATGACACCCATAAAAGATATATCTTTCGATGCATCGCGAAAGACCCTTTCATCTCGAATGCTCAGCTTCTTCGTGAGGCTTCTAGAGTGTTCTACACGTACTTTAACACGGTACCTTCGACACCATGGCATACAACATGTACGCGCTCTTCGACGTCCAAAATTAACAGAAGAACATGCTGCAAAGAGGCTACAATTTGCACTACAATACCATCAAAAGCCAGCTTCCTTTTGGCATACATGGATTTTCTCTGATGAGACGTCAATCGCTCGTGGGGACGGCGAGAGACAGAAGTGGGTTTTGCAATTCAGTACGTCTTAATACCCTTACTTCAAAAATCCTCCTAATTGCAAAAGGGGATAGATTAAATCCGAAAACGTACAAGCAAGAGGAAAACCTACTCGACATTCCCAGATGTTTTGGGGCGGCTTCTCCTTTAATCGGCGGACTTCTCTTACACCAATGCTAGGAGACCCCGACTCAGCCCGTGGTGGCGTTACTGCACGCCGTGTGCTCGAGACCTTACAAGAAAGCCTACCTACAATTGCAGAGCCAGGCTATACATTCGCCCAAGATAACGCCTCAACACATACGGCGGCCATTGTGCAGGCGTGGCTTGGCTGCTGGGTCGAAGAAAACAGGGTAGATTTGGTCGACTGGCCGCCATATTCACCTGACCTAAACCCCATAGAAAACGTATGGAAGCTGCTTAAAGAGAGCATTATGGAGACTCACCCTGAGCTCTCAGACCTTCCAAAGAACTATAGCTCCAAGCAGAAGCTCTGTTTTGCAGCGGTTGGAGCGTGGGAAGACCTTGAAGAGGATACCCTCAATCACCTAATAGAATCAATGCCTCGGCGCCTTCAAGCTGTTGTGGCTGCACGTGGCTGGTATACCAAATACTAGCCGAAACAACAATAATCTCCACTCAATTCTCTATATATTTATATCTTCGGCTTCATAATTGACCTTCATTTGGCAAAGTAATGTGCTGTTGAAAAGAGGGCTCTGATGCGGCGTTGTGGTGGGTGGGCCGGATTGACCGGAACTTTTGTCACCCGACTGTAGGCCGTCACAGTATACAGCTAAGGGCCCCGACAGGCTAGATCAAAAGGCAGCCTGTAGAGAGTTCTGAGGCTGCAGAAGGCTATTAGGAGACCGCATTAGGCAGCCACATAGGCTGTAGAGAGACTGCATATACGGGGGAAGCTGAAAGAGCCCTCGGCGACTAGGGAAAGTCAGTATGCAAAGGGAGGGCTGGGGAAAGGAGCCCAGCCTCCTAGATATTGTACCTATACAAATGAAAGGGGATATCAATAGGGAACCAAGGGATATAAATAGAGAGCCTAGAAGAGGGCATTGCAAGAGGGACAGACACGACGGAACACAACAAAAACACACCTATTATTAAAACAATCAATGCTCACTTGCATGCTCTCTTCGTGAGATATCTATCCAGAGCTAAGGAGAGAAATGGAAAGAAAGAGAACTCGAGTTCGCCTCGAGCGTATTGTAGAATGTTCTCATAGCAGCCGGCTTCATGAGTGGGGCCGGTACCGGAGCATGGTGTCACTAGATACCTAAGTGGATATTCTCACGAAGAGAGCATGCAAGTGGGCATTGATTGTTTTAATAATAGGTGTGTTCTGTTGTATTCCGTTGCGTCTGTCCTCTTGCAATGCCCTCTTCTAGGCTCTCTATTTATATCCCTTGGTTCCCTATTGATATCCCCTTTTCAGTTGTATAGGCACAATATCTAGGGGCTGGGATCCTTTCCCAGCCCTCCCTTTGCATACTGACTTTCCTAGTCGCCGAGGGCTCTTTCAGCTTCCCCGTAAATGCAGTCTCTACAGCCTATGTGGCTGCCTAATGCGGTCTCCTAATAGTCTTCTGCAGCCTCAGAACTCTCTGCAGGCTGCCTTTCTGTCTAGCCTGTCGGGCCCTTAGCTGTATACCTACCCTTATGGTCACCCTGAGCTCAAGATCTCAGACGTGCTTCGCGACAGATTACGCACCTGATCATGGGGACCGACTTCGTACAAGCCGGTAGCTAGGTTCGCATGCAAAGGAAAAGGCCATATATAGATGGCTAGGAAGGTAAATTTAAAGGGCTGGTCCATTGCGCGGGTTTTATCATACATTAGGGCACATGCTTTGGTGATGAAATTGTCATGTCTTGTTGTCCCTTATTGAACAAACTTAACTTAAGTTGAACTGTTGTATAGGGTACAGCACGGTTGGATAGACAGAGGGAAAATAGGACCAGACGTAACAAATTATCGGGATAAGAAGACGAGTAAAGTAAAGTACAAGGCGGATACAGCCATCGCGGCCATGCCGCTTAGTATGAGATGGTTGATGCTTGTGCGCTTTAATGGAAGGATGGTTGTTAAAAGTAGAGATGGATCGTGTTCTAATCCCACCGTCCCTGCCTCAGCTTAGCAAGGGCTGCGTGATCTAAGGTTTCATATTGTCGTCCTTCACATTAACCTTGAGGACTAGAGGATTTGTGTTGGGTTTCGCAGCGTCGTCGCCGATAGATTGTCCCGAGTCAGTTTCTCTCAATCGGCATTAGCGGCAGTCTCGCTCGAGGGTTGAGGCTGACGAATGCCCCATAAAGATCGCTGTCTATTTCCTTTGTATCGTTATATTGATAGTTGTCAACCATCAGACGCTGTGCAGGGAGACTGTCCTGAATGATTGCCCCACAAAGAGCACGGGCCTGGTTTAACGTGCTTTCCAACTCGTCATCTTTGTCTTGGAGCCTCGATTGTAGCTCGGCCAAGGTCTTTTGGCGGTCCCGACTTTGGTGGTTTGAAACTGCACAAAGCAAAACGTATCTGGTATCGCCCCATTCGCGCCGCAGATCACACACATTATCCCAAAAACGGCATTCCCTTTGTTTTGACTTCATTTCTTGCAAGCGCCGAGGGTTAAGTCGATAAAATCCGATCCGGTCTCCCATCTCCTGCTGCGTTTGGTCGCGCAATTCCCCCATCTTCTCACTGAATAACACTGCGTAGTATCTCTGGTAGAACGCGCTCTTGATCGAGCCTCTTTTTACGACTTGCCAAAGCGTGGCCAAGTCAATCGTCATTGTTGTTCGCACAGATCGATTCGTTAAGACAGCATCGCTCAGATGACGCAGTATCAGCCTGCGATCATCTAATGAAGCTAAGCCACGGGAGCTCCCTGCTGTTAAACCCTTGGGCAATTGGCTGGAAGAGCTTGGACCTGAACAGGCCGATGACTCGTGTGACTGTCGATTGGGCGAGACGGTGGGAGTTATCGACGCTCGCGTAGAATGACGAGACGCATATGTGGAAGGGCCAGCATCAGCCAAGACATCGGTTTCGTGTGAAGATTCATCGCGATTCTCAAGAGACCTCCTTCGCTCAAGAAGTTCTTCGAACTGTCCTTCGTCTGGGTCGATTCGCCGACAGCAAATCTCCACAAGCATTCGAACGCGAAACGTAGGCACTAGGGCATCGGCTTTTTCTTGGTCCACGTGGGGATACCCTTGCACAAGGCAACGGATACCGATTAACATAAAAACGCCCGAGTCTTCCGGGATAGATTGCTTTGGACCCGTCCAGCCTACGACGATGGGCCTGGAACTATTTAGTCGCGAGCGCGACCTCGCTATTCTCGCTGCTATCGTAGTAGTGAATGCAGTCGGCGTACACCGCAGCGAAAGCCCAATGATCTTCAAGATGCATCGGAATGACTGTAGGAGATCCCGCCCTCGTTGAGTATTATGCTGGTATCTTGTTGGAGTGCACGAGGATGATCGATATGTATAGAACCGTCCAAAGACCGCAGCATTTCTAAGTATTTAGAGATGATTGTCTCATCCAACTGCCCATCAAGCTCCGCGATCAAGGAGAAATTGGAAAGCGCACGATCCTCTGCGTAGCTCACCCAATAGGCTTGGACCGGCGTTATGGGACATCCAGGGCCCCATTTTGGATAACGTTTTTGAATTGTTCTGAAGATTTGCTGCACCATAGCAAAGGTATTGCATGAAAGGGGCTGAAGGGAGATCTCCTCGAAATTGTTAAACTCGTTCATAGGACGGCTGGATATCCCAATATTCGTGCACAATATCCTCATGCAGAAAGGGGCATCCATTGACCTTTTGATATCGTCCGTGCGGAGAGCCATTTCTGGATTTAGCAACGCGTGGGTGCTGTTATGGCTTATTTCGCGTTTCATTGGTATGCACTGTACATTGCTTTATATATTCACGTCGATTACGTACCTTTTGCCGACATTATACCACTGCATAGTCGTGTAGCAACGAGACTGCTTTCGTTAGCGTACGTTTCTTACTGCACCATTGCAGTACATTACAACAAGTCTTGCCGGAAAACCTCAACGGTATGGACTTTACGATCTGTACTCTCAAGTTACCGAGTTTTGTGTTCAATAACAGCTAGGAATGCTACGGGCTCACGACTCGTTGCGTGGTCTTCCACACCACAGCCAAAGCCATGTCGTCACCAATCAGAGACCTACATCAAGCTTTTATTCGCGATACACAGATTCGGGGCCCGTCTCGGAATCCTTCGAGCTAGAAAGCCTTCTTCGCCTAGTGTCTGACGAAGTCCGTAACCAACAGTCATCTACTGTCCAAGCATTAGAGGGTGAAAGGAGGCACTCAGACGAGAGCTTCGTGTCGTGCGTAGAATTTGGGGCACAATGTACGAGGCAATGTGTAAAATAAGCGAGGAGTCGATGCAGCTTGAAAAGATGGGAAGGTATGCTGAAGATCAAATCGAAGTGAGGCGAAGGGTATGGCTTGCCAATAGCACGGCAATATGATCTCAAAGAGCTTGTAAATACGAACTAGCATGATTTCTCTTAGTAGTCTTTGGCGTAGTTGAGGTCACAGTGGTATTAGGGTCTTAGGGTTTCGATCAACTCAGCCACACGGCCCCCGTAACACGGCCTCCGTAGCAAAGTGGTTCGGCCCGCATGACTAGTCATTGCCTCAATATTAATATTAGATATATTACAAGTCGCTCGCCGACGCGAACAGGTTTAAGCCGTTGTCGGAGGTATTCTCGTCACTGTTCTTTTTGCCTGGTCGTGTGCCGAATGGACTACCTCATACCAACTGCACTTTTTAGCCCGGCGACACCTTTCCAATTGACCAAGCCTCGTGGGGCCGGCAATTTATTGACACTACCACGAAACAAGTACTCATGGCAAGTCAACTCAAGAACGTCAACATACATGTGTTACTATGCCTGAATACTTATTGCTTGTAGCGGAAACTGTCTCCGGAGCTATTGTTGGCGTCACAGAGCGGACAGTCCATTAAATAAGGGCTAGAATATCCAGGTTTGCATCACCCACTACATTATGGCAACATCCGTAACTGGCCCCTAGTCCTGTTCTGCTGCTGTTTATCGCATTCCGCGGTAGGATGAGGAACCCTTTCCCTGCTTAGAGAAATTGCTTAAATAGGCGCAACCTCCGCCATCCACCGACTTTTCAATCTTCAAACGAACCAGTATGACTGACAAGAATAATCCCGAAGCAGTGGATAGGACTACGCTTCCTACGCCAGAGTATACTCCCGAGCCTCAGGCGAATAAGAAGAACGGGGAGAGAGCAGGCGGGAAAAATAGGAGTTATCAGGCCCAACCAAAGCAATCTGAACAGAATGACGATAATGACGAGAACGACGAGAATCAAGGGCAAAACAAGACAAGTTCTGCAGAGGTTCAGATTAAGCGCATCATGAAATGCAAAGCCAGCGACCCTGAGAAAATCTTGGACGTAGGCACGAACTCTGACGAAATGGAAAGGACACGGGCCTGGCGCACTTTGGCTTGCTTGGTTCATCCCGTAGTGATGGGTGATGGCGCTGCTGAGCCTTACAAGAGTAAGTTATTTTCCTCGCAAATGATAGACACGTCTAACATGAAACAGAACTCCAAAAAGCAGCCGAGGACCTGGGAGTCGACAGTCGATGGATATGCGAAGTCGATCAATGGGATGGCCAAAAAAAGTTGGACGACCTGGACCATCTCAATGGTTCTGAGCGCGAGACAGACGAGGACGAGGACGTGGAAGATCCCCCACTGGAAGAGTTCCGAGTTCCTCTGCCAACAGAACGTGTCCAAATTTTATACGACGAATCAACGCAATGGATTATGAAGCTGAAGAAAGATCCCTCAAACGTCCAAGCAGTTGAGGAACTTCGGAATTTGAACGCGAAGCTCGAGGAAGAGGCCGTGGTGAAGAACACAGAAGACATGATGGATGAAGGTGCGCCGACAGATTATTGGAATATTGAGGCTTCCTTCTTCTCGACACATTACCAAATGATCAACGAGGGATATCGACAATTGCTTGAGGACCGCCAAAACAGGACCTATTCTGAGGAGATTCTTGAACATAAGAGGCTCGTTGATTTGAAAATTGAAAGGAAGCATTTTCCGGCCAGCTGGACTATGGAGACACCCGAAGAGTTCCTCAGTCGAAGAGACATTGCCAGTAACATCGACTATCCATGGATCACGTTAAAGGCTTCTGGTGGGTTTACAATCATAGGGTATTACCCCGTCGGCCGGGGCACGCGGGCGCTCGTAGAGAGAGAGGAGGATGGCCGGCTCATTCGGAGCTACGAGACCGGTTCCGAGGCCGGCGTTACGGCCGATTTCAGGTCGAAAGGCTTAAATCTGTCCAAGGGGCAGTCTGGTTGGTCGAAGGAGCACCGAAAAGGGTTTAAAGAGGTTCTTTGGGTCCCGGAGACCGTCATTCTCAGGAAGAACATGGCGGCGGCCAGGCGTAGGAGCCCGGCCGCTCATTGCTGCGTGGCTTTCAAGGGTTCACTTGACGATGGAAAGCCAGATATTCACATGCTTACAGTGAGCAGCCTTAGAAAGGTTCTTGGAAGGGACCAGGCAAATCTGAAGATCAGAGAATGCTGCAGAAGAGACAGAATCCCAACTCCCTGGGAAGCTGGACCAGTCGCCGAGTTCAACGACCCAGCAGCTGTCGAGCCTGATCCGGATGTGAGGAGAAGGCTGAGACGAGATATGGCACGAAAGAATAGAGATGGAGGATATACTGACGGAGAACTGTCTACTGCAAGATCGCTGGGCAATGGCGGCAGCACCATCGGCCATGAATCGCTGGCAGACAAAGTTCAGAAGCTGGAAAGCCGACTCCAGTCGCAGGAAGAGAAGTTGGATAAACGTGTCGACTCAATTCTTAAGGAAGTCAGCCAGCATATGCAGAAACTGATGGTTCATTTTCAAGCGTCCCTGCAGACGACTATTGACGAAGGTCTAGCCAGGATCGCCGGGGGGAAACCTGGGGTGAAGGCTGAGGGAAATTATGATTCTGTTTAAAGGTGGCTTACACGAGTTCTGGAACGGGGTTGATACACTAAGTTAGATATTTGCTTCAGTTGCACCGTCAACAATTCCCTTGTACTTAATAACAGTAACTTGGTAATACTAGAAATGTTCATGACCCCTTGAGCCAGTTCTAGCTTGCAGCTAGGTTCCTTGGTGTAACGGGGTAGCCTCGATATCGCACGGAGGATGAGCAAGTGGGCATAAAGATCAGGGACTGGAAGACTCTTGATTCTGCTATCTAAGGTGGGAAAGAGGCGAGATCTTTATAGACTGCCTGAATATGAGAATGGAAGGGAATGGTAGTGAATGGAAGCATCTGATCGGATCATCTGGAAGCCACTGATGCGTTGATGATGCCTCCTAGAAGTTTCTGTGGGAAATGTGGAAACGGACTGTGCGAATAGGGGGTCAGACTGTTGGAGGCTGATATCCTATGTGTGACATACCCCCCCAGGTTGTGCTGGCTAGTGGGCAGTGCAAACTGAAGAAAGAAACTAGATCCCTAGCAACGTAGAGATATCGACGAGACCGAGTTGTTTGACGAAAGTAGCAAATTTCTGGCCTGGCAGAGCTTTGGTGAGGCCGTCTGCAATCATCTGGGAAGTAGGCGTATAAGTGAGCTTATAGAGGCCTTTCTCAAATGCCTGCCTAGCCCAACAGGTGTGGATGTCAACGTGACGAAGGGCTGTGCGGAGGCGTGGAATATCCTGTGTAACAAGACGAATGGTTTGAAGGTTGTCACATTGGATCGTCGGAATTCCATCAAGCTTAAGAGAGAGCTGCTCAAAGAGACGGAAGGTTGCAATAGTCTCCTTTGCCGTGTGCGTGAGAGCAAGCAATTCAGCTTCTGTGGAAGAAGTGGTGACTGTATCCTGTTTACCGGCTTTCCAAGCAATAGGGCCACCGAAGAGGGTAAGGATTGAACCCTGGGATGACTTGCGAGTCTCTTTATTATCAGCGAAAGCAGCGTCGGATGCGCTTTGAAATCGCTATGATGTTGAGCGTGGAGCTGAGGAACAACATCCTCGTCGAGGCAGGGTTTTCCTGAAAACTGGATGGCGAGATACCTAGTGGCGTAAAGGTACTCGATCAGATGGTCTGCGAGCTTGGGTGATGCTCGGAAGGGTTGTTGAGGAATTCAGCTAGTTTAGACGCTGGCTTGGCTATGTCCGAGCGGGTGATAGCTGCGGCGTAGTTCAGTGATCCAACTTTGCTCTGGTATAGCTGAATTTGGTCTGGAGAAGCCTGCCCTGTGTGCGGCTGGACTTCGTTGCACGGGAAAGGGCTCCTCTGAAGTGGTCACGCCGTTGAAGGTCGAACCGTTGAACCATCCTTTCAATGTAGGAGTCTTGGCATAGCCAAAGCTTCCTGTTGGGTCTGTCACGCAGGACTCTGATACCAAGGAACCATTGTAATTCCCTTGGTCTGTCATCGCGTACTTCCTCTTGAGGGCTGCAACCATCTCATCAGCTGCGTCCTCGTTTTCCTTGCGATAGAGGAAAACAATATCGTCAACGAAGAAGAAAACAGTGAGCCAGTCGTTCTGGAAGATGCAGGGTTCGTCGGGACACTGTGTAAGACCAAGCTCTCTGAATGCAGCAGTGAGTTCCTTCTGCCAAAGAAGAGGGGACCGTCGGAGGCCATAGAGGGCTCGCATGAGGCGAAGAGCCCATCCCTGTCTGTAGTATCCGTCTGGGAAGGCTACATAGACCTCCTCCTCGTCTTCTAAGAGGGCGTTTGTGAAGGCATTAACTGCGTCGAGCTGTCGGGTCTCAAGGTCGAATTTGGCGGTGATGGCCATGAGAATCCGGAAAGAACGTCCTGCAAGGGTTGCTGCATAGGTGTCCTTGTCACCCAGCTGTTGAAGATCTCCTCGAACACAAAGACGGGCTTTGAACTTTGTAAGAAAGCCATGCTTGTCGAACTTATACTTAAAGACCCAGGTAAGTGGCAAAAGCTTGCCCGTGACCTGGTCTCTGGGGACCGCTCTGAAGGTTCCTCTCTGTTGGAGTGCTTTCCACTCGGCGTGGGCTCCTTCTCTGAACTGAGGACCAAATCTGTGGGTGCGAAGTTCCTTATACGTCGTAGGTTCGGGAGGAAGGTGTCGTCTGTGAAGTTTTCTTCTCTGCCGAGAAAGAAAGAGCTGTGGAATTGACCCTTAGTGTTGGTCGAAAAAGCACTGAGCTTGCGAGGCTTTGGAGTGCGGGCTGAGCGCCGTGGCTGAGAGTCACTCGGACCGGGGTCCGGTGTCGGATATGGGTGCTGAATGTCATGAAACTCATCCTGATCATCCGAGTCCTCATGATCAGATGGTTCGGGTTGTACCACAATCGTGGTGGCGTCTCCTTGGTCTGAGGTTGAGGGAGATTGCTCAACGGGGTCAGGTTCAGGTTCATCGATTTGAGTGGGGATTTCCTCGTAATCCGACTCGTCCTCGATGTGGGCTGGAAGCTGTACTTCCACGCGCGGCGGGATAGGTTCTGGTGGCTGATCATTTCCGTCATAGAAGATGCTTTCATTGAAGGTCACATCTCGGACCCTTCGGACTTCTGATGTGGACGGAATCCAGATCCTGAAAATGTTCGTGGAATCATATCCAACGAGATAACCGATTTCTGTGTGAGGGTCGGTCTTTAGGTCCTTCTTCTGTCTGTTCTGAAGGGCCTGGGGTGTCAAGGGATAGGCTCTGCAGCCGTATGCCTTGAGAAACGTGATGTCAGGCTGGTCTTGCTGGTAGCCTATGTCTCTGTTGTTGTCTCGCAGCCACTGATGAAGCAGCTGGAAAGGCGTTCGGAAGCTGTGGTTCTGCATGGGCGATCTGTTGTGCAAAAACACTGCTGCTTTCCAAGTCTCTGGCCAAAGATCAGATGGTAAATTGGCATCAATTCCCATTGTTCTGGCCTGGGCAGATATTACCCCCCCAGATCGCTCTGCAGAGCCGTTTTGAGCGGGAGTGTAAGGGCAGAAGGTTCATCTTGAATCCCTTTTCCTCGATCCAGCTCTCATACGCACTCTGAAGAGAACGATCGTTATCACGGTGGATAATGCAAATATTGAGATTCCATTGGCGTTGAATCATTGCCTCATGGTTTCTCAAAGCAGTCATAACGGACCCTTGTGTCGCGTCATTCAGAAGGTAGATGAAGATCATGCTTGTAAATTCATCTTTGATAAGAAGAACAGCTTCCTTGCCGTTGAATGAGGTGTTCATACTGAAGATATCAACGTAGATTCTCCAGAATGGTCTGGGGCTCGGTTTTGAGGGTTCGGCGAGAGACGACCTTCTTTCCCTTCCCAAGGGAACACGCGGTGCAATCGATGGTAACTGGGCCTTTGATCTTCGAACCCGTCGTGTTCTCAACAAGACGCTCTAGGGCTTGAGCGTTCAAGTGGCCTAGGCGCTTATGCCAAAGCGTAGCATCTGCTGTTTTCACTGCGCGAGGTGCAGATGAAGATGTGAAGTTGGAGGCGTGAGAGTCCTCCTTAATCGGGTTGAACTCGATGACCGGTTGACGAAAGCGGCGTTTCGTATGAAATATAATCTGATCGTCTTTAGAGACGCGTCCAGATAGTGGATTCCAGTTGTATCCCTTCGCAAGAAAGCGGTCGAGGATGCGATGTTGGTGTGGAATTTTGGCACGAAGGCAACTTCGTTGAGCTGAAAAAGTCCTCCTTCTTCAAGCTTCATACGGACTGTGCCGTAGCCAAGGATCTGAAGTTGACTATCGCCTGCAAAGAGCTCTTTTGGCTCTGCAAGGGCGGTGTAGTCAAGAAAACGGGATCGGTTGTTGCAAATGTGTGTGTCTGATCCGGAATCAAGGATAAAGGAGTCATACAGCGGGTAGACTGCCTTTCCGTCGAGAAACTGGTTGATGGAGGTGTTGAGGAGGCGGTGTGTTGTCAGGAGCTGGTAGAAGACCGGCAAACGCTGTGCCTTTAACGGAGGAGTCGGACGATTTCTCCATTTCCTTCTTCTTGAAGTCTTGTGCTTTCTCCGTCATCTTCTTTGCCCATGGATTGGAGTCGAGGATTTCTTGATCTTCTTCTCAACCTTCTGATCAGGAGTCCAGCCATCAGGCCGAGCTGATTTGATGAGATAGAAGCAATCTACGAAGCGGTGATATTCTCCGCAGACACACATAGGAACACCATCAGCGTTCTTGCTTGAAGACCACTTAGGCTTGTCCTCTTTCCTCTCCGATTTCTCTCCCTTGCCTTGGAAGGCAGCTCCGAATGATCCTTTGCTGTTGTTGGCGGCCTTGATTCGGTGAGCTCGTTCAAAGATCTCACTGATCTTAATGCCGTCCGGGAAGTCGGTCTTCCACTCAGGCTTGCCGAATACGGCCTCGTCTTCCATTTTGTTGACCCAATAGTCTGTGAATGGGGCGTTGATGGACGAAACAGCCTGTAGGAAATCTTGGGTAGGGCGAAGGTCCTGGACATCAGGAAGCCCTAATTGCTTTGCCTCAGTGAGGACTTTCTGCCATTGGGTGACCCAAGCTTCGATCTTGGTCCTGTTTGGCGACTGAAGGGTGGAACGATAACGCTGAACAACTTCCTCTCGAGTGCCCAGTCGGTTGGGGCCACACGAGCCTGAAGCAAGGCAAGTTGCTTTGCAACGTCGTGTTCCTCGGCAATGGTGCTGTAGTAGTTGCCGATGGTCTTGACGATGTGTTGTTGAAGGCTGGCGAGTGCCTTCACTTGATCCCTATACCCTTGAAGCTTCGAGCGGTATTGGGTGTGGAGGAATTCGAGACGGCGAAATTCCTCCGAGGTCAGATCCACGAGATCAGATGCTTCGTGGTTGATTTGTCGGAATGTTGGTTCAACTGGCTGCTGAAGAACCGGCTTACCCTCCTTGACGGCAGGGTCCAGAAAGTCCCAAAGACTGTGGGACGTGGCGAATTTCTTGATGATAGAAATCCATTGTTTCCAGTCGCAAGGGCCGTTGAGCACGGTGCCCTGGAAGAGCCATCAAGATCTAGAGCTGAGCTCATTGTGGAAGCTATTCTGCGCAGCGGAGTGAACAAGAATAAGATACCCAGTCAGTGGCAGACCGGGCTCATAACTATCGCACGGAGGATGAGCAAGTGGGCATAAAGATCAGGGACTGGAAGACTCTTGATTCTGCTATCTAAGGTGGGAAAGAAGCGAGATCTTTATAGACTGCCTGAATATGAGAATGGAAGGGAATGGTAGTGAATGGAAGCATCTGATCGGATCATCTGGAAGCCACTGATGCGTTGATGATGCCTCCTAGAAGTTTCTGTGGGGAAATGTGGAAACGGACTGTGCGAATAGGGGGTCAGACTGTTGGAGGCTGATATCCTATGTGTGACACTCGAGTATGCGCAGAGAGGGTCCGAAGGAGGGATATAATATTCTACGAAGGGGAGAAGGAAGAGTGTACGGGTGCCGCACCTGGAGGTGCGGACCCCGCCTATATACAGGCCCTATTAGTCACGTAATCCACAGGTGACTAATACAATAAGGTGCCTAGCTCTGGTCAAAGGCCATTACACTTGGCTTCGGTTTACGACCTCGCCGCCCGGGGCTGGGGAAAATATTTGCCGCATGCTAGGCTTAGCCCCTTGTAAGATGCACAAGTACAACTAAACAGAGCGTGAAGACCAGGGCGATTGATTCAATTGTTGATCTTTAAAGAGCCCTCCAGCGGGCTGTGGTTATCCTCGTCCTATATAGGTCGCGTCGCGATCCCCACTTCGGTTTCAGATGGGCCATGCCAGGTCTTTAAGCGCGTGACACCCCTCTCTTGCTCTCTATAGAGATACTAGCTGTCGTTGTGCATATAGGCTTTCGCAATAGGAAACAAGGTCGTCAGTGATGCCCGAGCTAGTCATGGGCTTTACAAAATGACACCAATCCTGAGCGAAGCGCGCTCGAGGCATGATGTGGGCGTGATGAACTCCACTCTTGGCTGCCCGGAGGATGTATCGCACCCCATTAAGGTATAGCCGGCTGTCACCCTTTCGTAGCCTCCTCCTCCACGAGAAAGCATCCAACCGGATCCGCTTTCCACGTACCATCATCCATAAGCTGATGGAACTCCACCATCTCTGTCCGCATACGACTGCAATCTTGGGACTCTTCTTGGCGGCTTTTTCCCCCTTGACGCGGCTCTCCCCTCTGGTGAGGCGATGAGACGGCGACCTGAGTCTCACAAATAGACAAAGCCTCTGGGGTAGCACCTGTATGGATGAAGAACGCATATAACACCGATCTCAGAACGTGAAAAGTGTCCAGTTCTGGTCCTGCCTTATTAAGTCTCTCAAGTTGAGGTGAGCTTTGTCGAACTTAAAGGAAGCTGTGTCTGAAATCCACATCGGTGCAATGGCCGCTTAACAGATTCTTCTAAGCGATCGGAGCTCAACTCTTGCACGACATGCGAAGCTTGACCGGCAGTCCAGTGCCGAATCTTAGCAGACCAGAACCCTAGTTCTGCGGCATAATTGGCAAAATGAATAAGGTCTTCCCGTTTTGCTACCCGCGGTCGAATTTTCGCAAGCAGCTCCTTATCATTCCTTCGGGGTGCAAGAGGCATTTCAAGGTGTCTTTCCTCGCGTACAGCCACATATTAACACGAGCGTCCTTGAACTGTGTTAAATCTCGCTTGAACGAAGCTCTTAGCTCTGTGGTGATCGACCCATTTTTTCTAGGTACGTCGATCAAGTGGCGCATACAATGCGCGCAATACTCGAGCACCTTCACATCGTTATGGAAGGTAAACAAGGAAGGGATTAAGAGCTCCATGTTGCAGAGTCTTAACAACAACTCCTGACGCCAATCTGGAGTCTTAGTGGCGAAGATTTTGCCCGATGTGAGCAGATTTTCAATCTCCTTCCTGTCTTCCGCGCCGTATCGTGGACACTTCTGCTCTAACGCCCGGACTGTAAACTCATCTAGGGATTGCAAGGCATCTATATCGCCTTGAGTTATTGTCTCGAAGAAGCAATGTTTAATCCAGGCGAAATAGCTAAGAATTTCCTGTGCTGCCCATCAGCCAACGCCTGCTTTGGGCTCTGGAGCTCGGATAAATACCTCTGCACTGCAAAGCGATAACTTTATGCATAGTCTTGAGTAGGAAGGCTGATCGAGTCCTTCTACGTCGAGCAACTCGTCCAAGGCATCGGCCAGAGCTGGTTGATTCAGCAGCCTCTTTGCGCACCTCCGTGCGTGGTTAGAAGAGAGCTGTTCGAGACAAGCTGATACTCCTTCTTCGTCGTTTTTCTGCCTGTAAAAGCGGATTTGACGATAAACTTCGTTGTCTCGCTTGCGGCATTCATCGACGTGTCTACCTGGATGAGAGGGACGATTTCGCGGCATGATGAAGCACCTTGGTGAATGCTGTTTCGGGTGGTGGGACAGCGCATAGATCTGGGCTATAAGCAGATTTTACGTTTTTTTTACTTATCTTGCCTCGAGTGGGCCTAAACGGAGCCAGAATTTGCTGCAACGCGAACACTTTTTAACACAGTCTTTGCTATCCCTCGACCCCGAACAAGGTGGTGCGAGCTTAGAAACAGCCATGAACTTGAATACGAACCGCCGTGGCCGATCTACTCACCTTTTCTCAAATCACGATACCCCCCAATCGCCTTCTATGACGGAAGGCGAGAGGGATAAGACCAAGGCCCCAAAACCTTCTCCATACTGGAATAGGCGCTCGCTGCTGAAGGGAGATGAGCCGAGCTCGACCGATAAGGAAGCTCCGACTGGGAGAAATATCCCTGGCGCCAAAACTGGGAAGCCATGGGATAGTTACAGAGAGATTTACAAGATCCTTGATTTTG